AGTAACATTATCATCAAGTCACAACACAATATATTAAACATATAATCACCAAAGATTTGATATGATAAGTTAGTGGTAATTTATTGTTGTGAACTGAAAGTCAAACTGTCAAGCCGTACCATACACAGAGCATTGTTATTAATGTTGTTGTTGCTCTGATTGCTATTTTTAGTAGTTATATTATTTAGCAGATGACAAGGGCGATACACTTTAGCTTGTTAGGGGCAAACACAAAACAATTGGTCATAAAGAACAGTACCGGGAACATTTTTAATTGGAAATACAGACAGCACGTAACAATGCAGCCAGGTGTTTCCACAGACCTCTCGGGCCAAGTAGAGATAAAGGTCATCTGACACAACTCAGTCAATGAATATGGTGCAAAAAATAACCAAAAACTTACCCAGGTGTAACTTAATTCTGATGAACACAAGAGTAAAAGAAAATCATTATTAATATGTTTCCCCAATTTTTTTTTTAAATAACTGAATCTCCTTTAAGGGGTCACACAGTAGGCACTGGTGGGTGTGGTGTTCTGTTGTCCCCTTCAAATGTTTCCACTCCTATATCCTCAAACTGCAAAGTTGAACTGAGGAGATGTGAGGAACAATGACATTTTAAGGAATAAGGCACAACTGCATATGACTTAGAGTTACACTATGAGGGCAAACAGCCCTGTGATGTTCATTGGGATTATTTTGCCCATTCAATCGATGCTGTTGTTCTCACTTCATAAACACTTCACGAAGGTCACATTTTAATACATCACTCTACTTGTCAGATTCTTGGACAGTACCTAGGAAATTACACTGGAGCAGTTCGTGCAACAGAGGTAAACAATGTTGAAATAAACTTTGAGAAGTCACCGCTCGCGGACACCACCTCTTTACAACACGATTCCTTCACGTTTTTACATCTTCCTTGGGAAATCGTTTCCCTGTCCTGTTCTGGGCTGATAATGTCAGGAATTGGATGGATTTTTCCTGGAAGAGGCGTGAGACCACCTAATCCTTTTTGAAGGCTGTGAAAGACTGATTTAAGATGTTTTGACTGTGACGCTGCAGACGTTCTCCCACAGTCGAAACAAAAGAAGGAGAACTCATAACGATGTGTGAAAGGGAGCAAATTCACACAGCATCAGACCTCAAAAGTCAAGATTCAGCTTTAATCCTGTCATCAGTTGGACCATCAGTTGCATTCTGAAATGTCTCAACAAAGGCTAAAAATGTGTAAAGACAAATTTAGCTGCAAGTTGAAAACTGCGAGAGGTGTAGACTTTTGACAAGTGTTGAACCCCTAATGAAAATAAATCAATGAGCCATACATTGTCAACACAACAGTCAATGAATGTAACAAAGGGTAATAAAGTAACAAGTTACAATGAGAGAGAAATGGCTGTTTACATACTATGATCAGTAACTTGATATTCAGTTGTAGACTGGATACATGCTAAGTGTACTCCTAAATTCTGGAGACATCTTATCTAGGGGTGTTGTCACTAGCAGCATGTTATCTTTTCCTCCCCCATGAGTGAACCATCCGTCCCTCAACAGTGGCGCCCTGATCCTCAACTGTCCTAAATAAACAGGGTTCAGCCCCGGAGAGAATCATCCCAAGTGTCTGTGAGTACTCAACTAAACCTGAAGTGAGACACAATAACAAGCCAGAGATCACAGAAAAACGTTTGGGCACTTTGCATTATGGAAAACTGAAGCAAGATCCTTGTGTTTTTGAAAAGGTCAAAACACTTATTGTATATAGGACAAGCCAACTTGACCTTTCTTCAGGGATCATAAAATCCACAAGCCGAAACGCTTTGGTCAGACTTTCTCCATGCATCTTGAAAGTGGGTGAAATTGTGCTGGAAATCTTCACTCTGCTTCTACATTAAACCAGGGGTTTTCAAACGTCAATAGGGCAAAAGCTACCGTGCAGGGGTTGATTATTTCACACTTCGTGTGCAGCAACGGGGCCGGAATATTTCTTCATGGTTTGCTGCTGAACATATACCCGAGTGACCCTGAGTGAGGAAAATAGGGGCGGAGGAGTTCAAGGATATTAGAGAGATGTCAACTCACTCAGTGCCCTCTACCGTAAATCATTTCGATAAACTCCTAACTTGAGAGCCTATGAAGTGAGGTTAGTGTAGGAAAAAGGCAGTCAGAAGCCTATAGCAGGTGGATGCAAGTCCACAATTGAGAAAATAAACATTTAGCAGAACAACTAATGGGGTTCAGTGAGATTTTTTACTGTTGAATTATGTTTTTTTTTTACATTTTTACATGCTTCAGCACATACGGCAAACAGATGACACACCATGCCTAATCAATAATCTGGGTAATTCTTTGCAGATTGTTTGTTTCTCTTAACCCTGTAGTGCTGCATTGCATTGATTTTCACAAATGCTTTTGAACTTGAGAGTTATTGGGATGCACATAACAGAAAAATACTGTTCCCTTGCATCATTTACAAGTTAAAGTTCATTATCATGTTTCAACATGTAAGACATGGTAAACATTATCTCACTGTAATCAGACACCTTAATTCAAACAGAACTATTTATTTAACTAATTTCCGATGACTTCTGTCTGAGGTAAAACTGTATATATACATTATCTCTGTCTGCCATTGTTTCCTCAAACAATGGCAATTCAAAGGAGCAACATTCTATTGGAATTGAGTGCACTGATTTCATTTTCCTGTTATGTTTAACAAGAGCTTGATGTTGGGGGGGGGCGGGGGGGGGGGGGGGTAGTGTGACACAATGGATATATTTCTTACAGCCTATTTATAGAACATGTGGACAGTAGATGAAAAGAGCTCTTGATTTGCTTCTTCAATAGGGTTGTTCTTTGAAGTTACAGTATTCTATGTCTGTGTTTACATTTGCACCTGTTTACTAGCTGCATTGTTTGCATTCTCTCACCTACTGTGGCTGTAAGACTAAACGCAAGGAAGTAGTACTAATACAGCTTATACAAAGGCATGTGCCCTTCAAGGCTGTATAAAGTGAATGGGTAAATGCTTCAAGGTGCCCTCAATTGGTCTTTTGGAACTGCTCAGGGGTAAAACAAACTAGGGTTGGCAGCCCTCAGGTTACTGTTACTGTATGACTGTGGGGCAGGGTGTGCTCAGCAAATGTGTCTCCCAGATCAATAGAGGCCACATCAAACATCGCCTTTGTGTGGAGTCTTCAGTGCAACAGTACTGTCCATTTTCTCGATATACAAAGATTTGCAATATATGCAAAGAAAGGCCATGAGTATAACAATGCTTTTGCTGTCGTGTGATCACTTATTGTAGTGATTCTTACAAGTACGGAATCAGATATTAATGGTCATTAAAGAATTAGTTCACATTCTTTCAATACTCTTTCTTTTAAACAGCTTTAGTCACTGTAATCATTGTGAATCTGCAGACCCTCTAAGCTTTATGACGTCTTATAGCAGCTGTTTAGCTGTGCGGCCCCCACCTTTTTCACTCATTCTGACCACTCTCATAGCTTCATTTTTGGCAGCAGCAGTCAGCTGCACTAAGGAGTTGGTTGAGACCAAAAACTGAGCTAAAAGAGAGTAAACATTAGACTTACATTCATCAAGTGGCCGCAAACACGATTCTAAATGAATGATAATTGTTTTCTGTAACTGCTGGGTGTGTATATACAATCAACTGTTTGCTAACAAGGTCATCATATCAACTTAAAAAGTATTGTCGTGTCCTCACGCTTTTATTCTGTACACCAGCAAATGCAGACGTTCCAAAATGTTCTGACGAGTCATCAGTGTGAGCCTGTTATAGAGGCATGACTGTGGTCACAGTCTCGTGGTTCATAGTTTGAACTTTGAGTCCAGTGATGTGATAACTTCCTCTTCAAACTTAAAGCAACTAGTCAAACCTATAAGCGTTGATGTTAGTGGAAGTCAAACTCACATTCAGACTGATATTTAGGGACAGGATGACGGCACTTTCTATTATTAGTTTGGTGAACTCTTGACACATGACAAGAACAGGATTGCTTTATTTGACTGATTTAGTCTAGGTGTAATAAACTGGCAACTGAGTACATATTGTATTGTTTGTGAATTTATACCTTCTATTTCTTATATGTTTTAGTTTTTTTTGTATCATGTGTTCATGTTTAAAGTGTGTGTTTTGTTTTGCCTGGCTGCAAGAAAAAAAACATCATTGAGGACAACAAAGTTAAAGTTAAAGACGAACGATGTCCAAGACGTGAATAACAGAATAAACAGAATACTATAATTCTAAAACACATCAGAATGAGTGTTTTATTCCCTGTAAAAAAGTAAAAACATACTTTCATCCTCAGAACTTTATGAAGCACGTGATTATCTCATGCTTGCATGTATTTTTTTTCTTGCTTTAAATGCATTGCTGTGAAAAAAGTAAGAATCTATAGAAATTGATAGAAAACATTGTAATTTAATTAAAAACCGTTTTCTGTTTTTTCTGGGCCACAGTTTGCAAACTCTAGAAGATTAAAGTTCATGACCTTGTTTGTATTCACCCCTTATTTTTGGTGCAGACCACTAACAGTCATTAGTTTACAGATTAATGAGATCACACCAGAGAACAGGTTTAGGGGACACACCTGTAATGACTAGACTTACATCTGAAATTATTACTAGGTTAACTGTGAAAGTCTACATATGAGTAGTACAACTGTAAAACTGCTGCGTTATTTGGGTAGTTCTATGCCTACTTCATACTCAACTCTCATTTACAATATAGTATAACTGTAGTATTATAGTAACATAACGGTGTTTGGGCTCTGCACTAAAAGAGTATTAAAGTTTGGAGCGCAAACCGCAAACACGCGCCTCAAATAGTTTGTATTTGGTTCCGACGCTGCTGCAGGCGGGGGCGCGTCTACGGCGCATGCACCCGCGTACTCATCTCCACGGCTGGGCCACAAACGGCGACGACCAATCAGCGTTCTCCTCGCTTGGAGGGAGTGAGATCCTCTACAGTCCGCTACAAATACTGCGTGGCACAGTTTTTTTATTTTTATTGAATGCGCCTTTTGGGTCGTCACTTTAGGCTGACTCAGATTACCTCGTGCTTGTCAAAGTGAGCCGCTTCATTATTAACTGCAAGTAAACAGACTTCCCCTCAGCTTTTGTAACTTGGAAACTCGCGAGGACAATCGCAACATCTTCACAACCGTTACTTTGTTGCTCGTTGAGTATAACTGGAAAGCAGCGGGGAAAGTCACGGTTCGAGATCTTGTATCCCAGCCTGTGCAGTCAAGGAAATCTTTATATGAGTTGTGCATGAAAACTTGCGCAACGTAGCGGAAATCAACGTCTCCATCCACCCTAAAGAGTCACACGCAGCCTTCTGTGTGTTTGCTTGCACCTGCCAACATGACACGAAGATCCTGTGCGATTTATGCGGTCGGGATCATCTGCGCTTCCCTGCTGGCCGTTGGGGTTGGCTTATTTGTGGGTCAAGTTTTCCGCACGTTAATGCACAACCGCCTCAAAAAGGTAAACAAAAAAATACTTTCATCCTCAGAACTTTATGAAGCACGTGATTATTATCTCATGATTGCATGTATTTTTATTTCTTGCTTTAAATGCATTGCTGTGAAAAAAGTAAGAGTCTATAGAAATTGATAGAAAACATTGTAATTTAATTAAAAACCGTTTTCTGTTTGCAAACTCGAGAAGATTAAAGTTCATGACCTTGCTTGTATTCACCCCTTATTTTTGGTGCAGACCACTAACAGTCATTAGTTTACAGATTAATGAGATCACACCAGAGAACAGGCTTACAATTTAACTGCATTTATTGTCATTTATAATGTGCAAACTTTGAATAGAATTTAGCAGCAGACTAAACTTTAGGGTGTAGTCTGCTGGTGTTTGTAATAACATCAAGTATTACAGATGTCACGGTTGCTCTTATCATTGGAGTTCAGTGTATGTTGTCATGATTGGCATTTTTGAAACTGGTCAGTGATGGGCTGTTTGTTGCCTCCCAGAAGGACTGGCTCTAATGAGCAGCTCAAACTCCTTGAGGCGGAGGAGGATGGGTTACTATGGGTTCAGTAGCCTCCGCAATGCAATCAGCACTTTATCTGCCCGACAGTTAGATTGTTAAGTTGCTTTTCCATTAGCCACCACCACTGTGTTGAAAGACTTTTACTGGGAAGATTTTCCCAGCAGATGTCCCACTCCTGTGTGTTTCTGCCTTCAATACTTGACATAATGACATGAGGTGGTTCAAAGGCAAATTCCACAGCTAAGAATAAGTAAGGGCTGAGTCGGTATGGCTTGTTCGTGTTATTGGTTGGTATTTATGTCACAAGAAAAAGCTGAGTCTGCTGCTGATAGCAAAATTAGCACATGTTAGAATTCAATCACGCTGGTTTGTGCACATAACACACTGGAGTAACCTCACTCAGGGAGATTCCTAGCATTCTTTTTTTACTTGAATTGAATTGCAACTCTGGGGAACATCAGTGGCTGATGATAAAAAGTGTTTGGTACTTGTGTAGTGAAGATTGTTGAGATGCTGAGGATAATGGAAAGGTAGACATTGAAGGGAAGTTGTCTCAGTTCCTCAGGAGGAAGGGCGGTGGATGCGTCTTCATCGTGATCTTAACAACTGATGGGAAATGGATATTTAAACTCAAATAAACTTCGGTATTCTCGTGCCCTTCACACTCAGCTCCACTCTGCAGTTTGAAGAGTTCTTAGCTGTTTTATCTTTAATCCCAGAGGTTGAGAAGTCAATGGACCACAAATACAAACACTGTTGTTATCTGTTGTAGTTGTGTTTGGTTGCATCAGTTGCAGGCTTTAAACTTTTCAGCTCATTTCTGTCGTACACACTTGGTTGGTGTACTGCCAGGGACCCAACGATGTGCGGTGTTGAATTTGGTGCAATTTGGCACATGTGGCACGTTCGATATTAATAAACTTTGAATAAACAAGCAAACAGCGCTCTGTTCAGCAGCAGGGTGGGGCTTCAGGTCTGAGTGGACTGAGTCAAGCATCTCATCTGCAGCGGGCCTTTTTCAGACCGCGGCTCATTAACTGCAGTTCACTTCTGCTACCGGATGGATATATAGCCTGCTAACGCTACATGTATGCTGGGGAAAGTTAACAACCAGACTTTTCTTCCCAGGAAGGAGCGGATAGCTTACAGGAACAGCGCCACTTAATTCTTGTAAGTTTAGGTTGAAAGACTGTTAGTGAAAAGTGTTAGTTCAAAGCATTCCCAGAAGGTTAACTTTACTTAAATAACAGTGTAGACGTGAAGCCCACATTCATTGTTATCAGATGGCACACCTTAATCCTTATCTTCAGATTAAACCCGCTTTTCCATAACAGGTATCAGATGGCTTTTATCAGAGAGTCTTAGTGTTGACTTTTAGAGGTCATGGTAAACGTGAGGCTGTCTAACGCTGGGAGTCGGTCCTAATGCTGGAAACTGTAACATTTAAACTACATGACATTTTCCTTTACATTAATAGAGGTTTCTAGGAAAAACAGCTGCAGGAAGTGGAGAAAAGACTCTAAATACTCAACAACAGGGAGTTAATCATCGGCTACAGATAAGATTGTGCAGGGATCATGTTTATTTTGTTCACGGATGTGCTCACATTTTTTCAACAGATAAATTAATGTCGTAATTCAAGACGTTTATGCATCAAATTTAATTTCCTGTACTGTACAGTACTGTTGAAGGCAACAATAAAAGAATAAAACTAGACTTTGGTTGGAGTAATTGATAAAACAGACAATCACTGACCGTGAAGTCCTATTTAATAACAATCTTTACATGTTCAATATTTACTTCAAGGCTTGTCAGTTACTGATAAAATAGACCATTTGCTCAAAGTCTTTAGTCTTATGGCAGTCTGGTGGGGCTCTACACGTGTTTATGCCAAGTTAATATCTCTTAATGTAGTAGATTTGGTAGATTTATGAAGATGCTTTGATCCTGGGAAAACCCAAGTGCAATCTGCTGCCTCAGCACAAACACTGAATTAAAGCAAAGCTTTTCTTACCTAGTCTGGTGCCAATACTTGTCCAGAGTAGGTTTTAAGTTTGTGTGTAAGGATCTATTTCCCAACTTATAATACATGCTGGCTTTTGGCCCAGACTGACAAAAGTTGACATCACAAAGCCACAGTAAACCAAACCATACATTTAGGAGTGCAATTTATGGCCATTGCTGCAGAGGTCCTGGAATGGAATTCAAACTAGACAGCGTTGAACCTTTGAAGATGAGCACTGCAAAAGTTTTGGTCTTATTAGCCGTCTTATTCATTGTTACATTAGAGAATCAGGATACATTACCCAAGCATTGATTTGGAGTCTAAAGAGTATCAAACACTTGAACAGGCAGACATGTGAAAGATATACGTGTGGGTGTAACATACACTTAGTTATCTACTAGCTAGGCAGTTTGATTTATTTCAGCTGTATCAAGTTACCCCCTTACCCCAGTTGCAACAGTGTGAAGGATCTCATTCCACGCATACCCTCCCAGCAGCAGACTCTGTTTGTGTGCTAAGCCTTCTTTCACACTGCGAGGTTTATTGGGAAACCGACTGGGTTGGCAGCCCATTGAAGTCAAGCGGGGTCAGCGTGCAATGACCTGCTGATGAGGTAATGGCGAAAAATGACTCAACCCTGAATAGGACTTTGGTAATTTTACATAGACTAGACTAGACATAGCACCCAGCGGCCCCTTGCTGGTAATATGCTGGGTTTCCTTCCAAGTTTTAACTCTGACACAAACTTTTTTAACAATACAGATTATTTTTATGTATTCAATTGACCTCTGGAAGGTGAAATGTTCCACACAACATACAGATGATTTGGAGCTTCACCAACTGTCATTGATGTGTAATTTCTGTGATTTGTGGTAGACCACGGTATTGGTCAACGGAAATTTTGACATGACTGCAAAACAAAGGTCATCGAAAGCATTTGTAATCATGCTCGAGGGATAGTGTTTGCAAAATTCATGAAGGTCATGGCCAGCGGTTGTTAAGATACCCGACTCTGGACCAAAGCCCCACAAACGTTACAAATAACAACACTAAAGTCTAAAGCTATGCTAGCTGCTCTGCGAGTCTGTACTTACCGGGCACAGCAGTGCTTTGAGCTAAATGTATACTACTCTCAGCATGCTAACATGCTCAAAATGACTATCTTAACATGCTGATGTTTAGCGGTTTATCTTTTTTTTTACCATTGTAGTTCAACCAGTTTGCATGCTAAAATTTGCTAAATAGCACTAAACACAAAGTACAACTGAGGCTGATTGGGTTAGTATTCATAAACTTAAGTATTGGACAAACTGGAATTTTGACCAAATGATTTTGCTAGGTGAAAAGGGATGGGATCACCAAAGTCATTGTCCTCCAATTTAAAACTGAAAGGGCCTTGCTGTAGTGTGACTTTGATGGGTTGAGCAACAGCAGGGCTGGACTACAGTTCAGCTGGTAGAGCTTTGTTAGGTGGCGTGAGACAAACCCATTTAGAGTATGCAAACCTTGCTCACCATGGCTGGATGATTTAATGATTAGCTTCTCGCTGTGCCCAGTGTTAGTCACGGCTATGTACTTGCCTGCCTTGACATCAAAGCGCCAGCTGTATATGTATTTGTGTATTCACCTGCTGCATGTGTTTTCGAAGAGGGAGTGGTGTAAGAGTAGTACTGAGATAAGAGGCTTTCGCTGTTCCTGTTTTCTATACTGTATTTCATGGAGCATGCTGGGAGGGTTACCATATTGATTGTCTGAAGCATGAAAGGACGACATAGAAAGACCTCAATCCCCTTCCTCAATCCAAGGTGACAGCTTTATTGTACTTGGCTACTCAGCTAAACTTTTGTCTCTCAACAAGTAGATGGGACCCCAAAGGAGAAGGGGGGCTGTGCTCCCCTGAAATAATGGGACTCGTTGGTGTGCTTTTGGGTACTGCTTTTAACTGTAACACAAAGCTGGCGAAATTAGGCCAAAGTGAGATTTCCTCTTGATGCGTTGTCAAAAGAAATACTAATCCCCTCGTCTCATTTCGTTCTTCTCTCACTCCCTGTGTTTTCCTCAAAAGATTCCTTGCAGTGAAGCAGGTTATCCTCGTCCTCAGGCAACGACGTCTGCTGTGAGAAACACTCTGACATACTGGGAAAAGAAACAGGATAGTAAATAGTGTGTTCATGTCCTGCACCTCCAAGGCCACATAGGGCCCAGGCCTGAGGAATGCAGCTCAGATCATTAAGGTCGCATTAAGCGGGCATCCAGCTCTCCGCATCACATGACATGTCAGCGGCTCTCCCCAAGTGCCCGTCGTCATTGGCAACGGCTGACAATGGAGCCGAGGCAGGGTCTCCCTTAATTCCATTCATGTGTGTTGTTGCCTGACGCTCAGACAGCAAGCTCCCCCCCCCCCCCCCCCCCATCCCCGACCCCCCCACGAACCCCCAAGGATGTTTTCGTTCTCTGGGTTGTTTTTACTACGGACAGAAATGGTACAGGAAAGTCCGAATACAAAACATGTGTTTGCTTCTGCAAAAAAAAACGTTTCCTCGTCCTGCATCAAAAGCATCATCAGTTGAAAAGCCACATGCAAATAACAACACTTCTGCTTTCAAAGAAAACTCATTGTCCAGCAGTAACATGTTCTATATTATAGTCGGTGTATATGCTTTATTTTGAGACAGAAAATGTGTCTGAATTAATTATGTTCATACTCAAACTGAGATACATGCTTTTTGTCTCAACAGGAGATCGTTTTGGTTGAGGGCAGCCGTGTGTTTGCGTCATGGAAAAGCCCTCCCCCTCCAGTCTACATGGAGTATTTCTTCTTCAATGTGACCAATGTGGATGCATTCCTTGAAGGGTCCAAGCCAGAGGTCAAGCAGGTTGGACCCTACACATACAGGTAGGCTGCCAGAACACATCAGTGCACCGGCTGCCACAGAGAAAGTCAAACATAAAACTTCAAAATATGACATATATCGACAAATGTGTTGTCATTGTTGTGTGTCTAACACCGGCCACCACACCACGCTCTGTTGTCAAATTTAACACTTCAAAGTTTCTCTAAGTGTTGAGTTACTTTTCAAAATCCACTTGAACCACTCTTCACATTAGCAATAATTACATCCACCGCACAGCACTTATTCAAAAAGGAAAAAAAACTTTTAAAAGTGGGTCACCTGTTACTTCTGTTATTTCCTTCTTCCAAAACACCAGGAGCGTATGCAAGGAGAGAGTCAATCAAACAACATTATGACTAGTGTGTTCGCTGCATGCCAAATTAATAAAAGCACAAAAGGCCAAACTGCCAGCCTCCATATTACCGGTTGCTGATGAGCTATGTAGCATTTCAAAGGCTATTGTTTTTGGCACAGCACTCACTCCACATAAAATATGAATGGTCGTGTGAAATCTTAGCACAGCCGCTGCAGAATGACTAACACTTAATATATTTTCTCCAATATATCTAGACCAAGACCACACATATAACATCTACTTAAACCAGACTGTGCTGCTGTTTATATTTATTGAGTTTATTGGCTTTGTGGGTTCATGTTTTCTGCCGTCTCCAAATTTGGACTTCATCAGCAGACTAGGCTTCTGCTGGTTCTGTCGAAATGTGCCCGTTATTTGCTCAACACTTATGTAAACTGAAAAAGGGACATCAGCTTCTCTGCTTCCCTTTTTTTTTTTGTCTGATACGGCACTCTTATTTTTATTGCATATTAAACGTAAAAAATAAATCCAGACCGGTTCATTTCATGGTCTGTCACCCTGTCACTATATCACCATAAAGATCAGACACTGGTATATTTACAGTACGTTGTTTCATGACCTGCCCAGTCCGTCATGTGAGCCCTGATAAGAAACTTTGGTGTAGATTTTGAATCACCTCTAATGCCATCCTTAAATAAATACCAAGGTTCACTGCTGAATCACCAAAAAATGGCGACGCTAATTCATATTTGACTTTCGAGGTTACCTAATCTCAAACGGATGTTGCGTTTAAAAAGAAGAAGTTGTGTGATGAAATTCACATGTAGTGCAATGCCTTTTTTAGTTCTTAACTGGTCTGAGATGCTAATTTGTGAACAATTCTGGAACGCTTCATGAAAATATCAAACCCCTGATAATCTTTTATTTTGTTGTTATTGCACAGGGAGTACAGGTATAAGGACAATGTGAGCATGGGGGAAAATGACAAGATGGTGTCTGCATACAACTACAAGAGTTTTGTGTTCCTGAGAGAGAAGTCTGTGGGTGACCCAGCTGTGGATGTCATCAACACTGTCAACATCCCAGCTTGGGTGAGTAATGAACCAAAGGTCATTTAAAGTGGGGGGAAAGTTGAGTGTGTGTTCTCTAACTGACTCCTGCACTTTGTTTATTGTTTCCTCACTCTCACCTCAATGCCAACCACCACCCTCTACCTCATCCTGCTTTCTTTGCCGTCTCTTTTCCACTCTGCCCCACTCGTCATGTCCTGTCTCTAGGCTGTAATGAACAAGTTGAAAGGGAGTTTCTGGAAGGCCCCTGTGATGTCCGTCTGGATGAACTCCATCGGGGCCGGTCTCTTTGCCACTCACACTGTGGATGAATGGCTGTGGGGCTACGTAGATCCCCTGCTCGTCCGCATAGCTACCAGCAGTCCTGAAGTGGACACGGTCTTTGGGCTCATGTACAAGGCATGTACAGCTCTACAAATAATAAAAGCTGATGAACCTCAGCTAGATTTTGGAAGATCTATTAATTAGTTTTTGATTTATTACATTTTCATGAAATCCAGCCACCGTGAAAATTAGTATTTTCTTAAAACATGAACACATTTGTTTGACTTAAATCTTTGGATCTATTTAGAAAAATGGAAGTCACTCCGGGGAATTTGTCTACCACACTGGGAAGGAGAACTACATGGATTATGGCCGTGTCAAGACATGGAAAGGCGAAAGGTAGCCCTGTTGCAGACTCCCACAAACACACACTCCCCCTCTGTCTTCATCCACTGTAATGAAACCTCTTTTGGCAAACTTTGTATGTAAAAGGTTTGTCAAATCTACTGATTTTTGCCAATAATGTGGGAGTGTTTGTCTGGGCTGTTTCCCATATCACAGAGCACAGGACAGGCTATCGTGGTACTCTGAATGCTTTGATGACGTTTTTAGTGACCTTTCTTACCCCATTTTGTTGTCTCAGTCTGCAATCTGTAATTACGCTCCTTCCTCCTGGGAAACCACTCTTTCCAACAGTGATTTTCAGATAAAAACATGTTTGTACTGTTATTAAGATGGAGATGATAATGGTGTTGACAATGAAAGTAGGCTTTTTGAAAACAGCATATCCACCCCAGAATATTAAAAATATTGTTTTTATGTTTAAAATCTGGAGTAGAACTTTGCAGGCAGGCAGCACACATGTCTATGTTAGCTCAGTGCTGAAAGAGATACCCCCTGTATATACATTATGCCCTTTTTAATTCCCTGGATGCAATTTTGAAAATGAAATGCGCATGTTTGTGACAATATGTTGTTTTGCAGCCAGGTGACCTTCTGGAATTCTAACCAAAGCAACAGCATCAATGGATCAGATGGAAGTGCTTTCCATCCCCTGCTAAACAAGAAGGAACGCATATACATATTTACTCCAGACCTCTGCAGGTACAGTGCAGCATCACAGTTTCAGAAAGTTACAAAAATGAGCGGACACAGCCCCCCCACCCTAATCTGATGTTAGAAAGGCATTGGGGAAAGTCAATTCAGAAGCTATTTGACCATCCAACAAGCTAACCTTGCTGGATTATTGCGATGTCATTCATTTATACAAGAGCAAAGAACAACACTGAAGACTATTCGCGATGGAAAATATGTTTTCGCTGCTCGCTCAACTGGCTTCAGTTAGTTTGATGACAGATGGTTCATCCAAACACCAGCAAAGTATTTTTTGAAAGGGCCTTCCCTTTTCCAATGACTGCTTCTCAGATGTTTCTGGTGTAGCAAACCATGCTGCTGGTCATGTAACCGATAATCAGCTTCCGAATAAGCATAGTGGCAGCTTAAAGGAGCAGTGTGTAGGATTTATGGCATCTAGCGGCGATGTTGCAGAAAAACACAAACTGAAAACTGCTCCGCTCAACTCTCGATTTCCAAGCATGTGGTAGAACTACGGTGGCCTTGAGGTAACGAAGAAACGCAAACGTGTTTGATTTGTCCGTTCTAAGCTAGTGTAGAAACATGACAAGGAAGTGCCACTTGAAGTTGGCTCCAAAAGTTTACAGCCTGGTACAAAAAAAATGTTCATATAACTCACCCGTTTGAATTATATTATAGCTTAAAGTTGTACATAAACAAGGTGGGTGCCGCCTCACGTCGCTAGCTGTCCGCTCTGCTGCGTCGCCCTGGCCAGCCTAAGCTTCAGCGACGATCCAACTCTTTGCCCAGGAGTTAGGGTGTGTCGTCACTGCCAAGATGGCGGTACCGATAGGCGACGTCCATATTTTATATAGTCTAGGTCGGAGCAAGATGCAGGCTTTCATATCTGGTATGGAAAAATGTTCTCTGGCCTTGGATCCCATGGATTGCTAACATAACATCCTCTTACATCACTTACCAACAGCACCATAATTAATGCCTTAATGCCTTCTCCACTGATGGAACTGTGCCACATATCTTATTGATCACGAGAACTTTTAATTCAGAAAATAACTTTGAACTAAAAAAAACATGTCGCTTTAGTCATCCTCCCCTTTTGTTGAGTGTGGAAATAATCCGTCACATGGCTGTACCTTTGACTCTGATTGGATGTGTGTCAAAAAAAAACCCTCTCCCTAATGTTTTGACTTTCACCTACTTACTCATTGCCTGGTGGTTCTCTGCACTAGTGTGACTAAAGGGAAGGCTCCCTTCCTGTTTGCTATGCATTTCATTTGACTATAATTTGAAGAGGAAATGTTCCATTACGTGATATGTGGTAATCTTAGACACAGAAGGTTTGGCTCAAGTGTTAAGCCCCTGTAAGCGTAGATCAACACCACTTTGTCTGAAAACATGTGTTTAGTTAAATGACATCTGGGACTGATTTGAAGGATAAAAGAAGCACTAGAATTCCCATCTGTGACCTGACGGGGTAGTGACCTTTTGGTCCAGTAACTGACAGCTTAGCCACAAAAAACTTAGGATTTTCATGAAACAGGTGTCATTGTTCAAATGCCAACTTGCCTTTTGCAATACGTTAATCTTTCCTCCAACTGTGGTCCTTCATTTAAAATTCTAATATTCACAAAACCAAAACGAAGTAAAATAAAACAAAAGACACATTTTCAACCTCACGTAGCACCCTGGATATGCAAAAAATATCTAATACAATTTAAAATGATGACACAGGTTAGAAAAGTTAACATAAGTGAATGAGTTAATATAACTTAAAAAAAATGTTAGATTGAGTGAAAGTTGTAACATGCAGATTTCATCATTATTATTATACAAATTGTACATTTTTTACTAAGTACAATCCCCCATCACTTTCTTTTCCATTCCCTTTCAACATTTTACGCCTATAATACATTCTCACGTCATCTCATCACATTTTGGCCCCCACACATTCAAGGGATTTAGATATAAAAGACCCCATATGTTAGCTACGTTTGTCTGAAATTAATCCACACTGTAACATCCTCTCATGCCCAGCAGTACAAGGCAGAGGCTTTCACAGTCCCGCTCTAGTGAGGAAACACGTAAGGCTTTTTACTTGGCTTCTCTCACAAAGGTCAAGGGAAAGGTCTGTCCAGTATTGTTGCACGATTGGTGGGCTGAGTAGCGAAGGGCCACATCCTCCCGGCCAGTTGGCAGACAATGTATAGACTGCTTTGTTCACGCTGAGAATCGTCGGGATTCCCTTGAAAGAACAGAACTGCAGATACATAGAACAATGATGAACATGCTCAAAGTAACGCAATTCTCTTAGCAGCTGTAAAAACACATCAAACATTCAAATATAAGGAAAAATGTACGATTTGTCCACTCCTGGTTCAAAAAGAAGGTTAACGGCAGACTACAGCAACTACTATTTAGAATGAGAGAAGTACTCTCAACAGGATTTCAGCAAAATGGTAAAGTCAATATATATCATTCAGCTTCCTTCTTGATATTGAAAATTATTTAAAAATTATTATTATTAAGAAGAGAGGATAATTACTTAGAATATTTATTTTGATTTATATATTCTGTGCAGCAAACACACTTTTGAATGGACTAATGGAATACTGTAATATTCCCTTTATATTCCTATAACATAAAAAGTGTTTCTTACAGTTGCACTTTTGAAAGAGTTTGATAGCAGTTTTGATTTTTTTCCAAGTGAGAATGCTAATATTCAGGCTGTAAACTCTTGTTGAAACAAATTGTGCACAAGTGGTACAGCAAAAAGAGTGATGTTAAAAGTCTGATCAATAAAATGATAAGATGTTGGTAAACAGACATGAAAAGAAAGAACAGAGATTTTATTTCCCAAAATCCTGCAATGTCCTTGCTTTACTCTGCAGGTCAATCCACATGGAGTTTGAGAAGGATGTCGAGGTGAAAGGAATCCCAGCGTACCGCTTCACACCACCACGCTCCGTTTTTGCCAGCAAAGAGGAGAACCCAGCCAACGAGGGTTTCTGCGTCACCCCAAAGGAGTGCCTGGGAACTGGCCTTCTTAAAGTCAGTCCCTGTCGCAAAGGTAAACGTCAGCTTGTGCAGCACATTTTCTCACCTACACTTTGCACTTTCACATGCCTCTCCTTTCAAAGTGCTACTTTCTGCACCTCTATTCTCTTCCCTCCTGTTACACTCTGACATGGGCCTTTATAGTAAACACATAAACTTATTTTGAAAGGTAAGATCTTTGCTTTTTGTCGCCCTGTTCTTTATGCTTTCTTCCCAGTCCACTTCCTTTTTTTAGTCAGTCGAGTCCTCCTTTTATTTTCCTTCCTACTATCACCAGCATTAATACCCTCTAAGTGACCCATGTGACACAGCCCTCTCAACACCTCAGGCGCCATCTGACCATGACTGGCCCAGTAGCTGAAGGGTTGGTAAGCCCTGTCACCTGATGCTGACCTTAAATATGAGTTGGTTTAGTGCCTCAGTGACTGTGTTCACAGACTTATATATGATCATTCCCTGTGATAGAACAATAAGAGTGTTTTAACATGGTTTATACATTCAATAGCAGATTGATTGGATACAGTATGTATGTATACACGCAGTTGAACAAGAAAAAACAGGGCTGCCGTTCACATCAATGTTAAGCATGCACGATAAAAAAAAAATCGAGGGCACTTTGAGGTCATGGTACAAATTTAGCGCAGCCAGCAGCAGGTATTTAAGAGAGTGCGCAGAGGGTTGAATGAACACAGTGCGTAAGTGGCACTCATAAGTACACAATACAAATATGTGTGTGTGTGGGCTACAATGACCTTGTGTGTTGTCACGGGAACAGCCTCTCAGGTGACTCCGGGTGTCTGATGTTTTTGCCAAACACAAGGACAGGAAAACTCTCACCCCTGCCCCACTTCAGCAGCGCCTCTAACTGTGCAACCTTTTGACTTTGTTGTTGCTTTCCCGAGACACACACAGAACGACTTTGTCCGACGTTGCACAGGTGGAACCTAACCAAAGGCCTGCACGACCGCACATTTCCTTATTTATGACCAAGGCCATATTGTATGAACGCGGGGTCTCCGGTTTACAATGTGAGGAAGGAACTCAGCAATAGTAACATGAGTCTTGATCTGGATTTTAGATGCAGCCCTTAATTTGTTCTACAAGCGGGTCTTTTTCCATTTGCGTATCTATTGTTTGTTTTCTTTGGAAGATTGACCCTGAGTAACGGTCGTGGAGCATGCATTGCTCCACGACCGAGGTCAGATCATATCGCATCACCTTCTCTTGGGGACTCTTCCCAGATGTTGATGATGCTTTGATTAGATCGTACATCAAACAGCAGGAAATGTGATATTTGATGAGAATGTTGTTGTTTACTATGCTGCTTCTTTGATCATCCTCTCAACCTTTGTGTCAGGAATCATGAGAGGCTTTTATGTTACACCATCATGTGGTTGTAAAAGACACATTATTTTTGAACAATAAGAGCACGTAATATGAACTACATACTTGTTTTACAGGTTTCCTTTATCAAATGTTCTCATCTGACATTAGATGTCCTTGCTGTACAAAAAAATATATATATAAAAATATATAACTCCTGTAAGATACACTGTTTTTATGTTTTATGGTCATTTTAATGTAGCCTGTGTGTAAAAATACTATCATTAATGAATTGGCCAACTTAATGAGTAAAAGCTTGTTATGGTGACATGTGGCAGCTCAAGACCCCGTTGTCATAATTATGTTTAAAGTCTCATTAAACCCTTATTAGAGATGGGGCAACATTGTCACAGAAGATGAGGCACACACTTTGTCATTATTGACATTTTCCACTTAATAAAGCGGCGAAAGGAGAACTAAAGGAGACTCATTTGTTTTAGAGTAGAGAGATATACATCTTTGATTGTTGCTTCGCTCAGCTTAATGTAGTCTTCCTTTTATTGTTTCTCACCTGAGTCCTCTGCTCTCCTCACGTAGGTGCTCCGGTGGTCGCCTCCTTTCCTCATTTTTACCTGGCAGACAACAAATACGTGGCGGCCATTGAGGGGATGTCCCCGAAAAGACAGCATCACCAAACGTTCCTGGACCTTAACCCGGTAAGCACCCAGGCCACAGCTCGTCAGCCTCCAATCCAGAATAGAAATACCTTGGAGCAAAACAGTTCGTTGAACTATGAAAGGAATGCCGTGCTCCATTTAGATGTACTGCTACACCACCTAGTGGCATATATGTAGTAGTACAGCAGAAGAAGAACACCCCCGTACTACTCCTACTTGTCTGTTCTGGTGATATAATGCTATACTTTACATTATTAACACTATATTTTGTGCAGACCACCGGAGTGATTGTACGTGCAAACAAGAGAGCCCAGATAAACATCTTACTCAGCAGAATCTCTGGATTCCCGTAAGCATCTGCATCCAAACACAAGCGACTATTCTATAGTACTGATGTACGTGTGTCTGTGCCGTATATATAATGGCTTCCCACTCTTCTCTTTTTGTTCACAACAGGAAAACTAGAACCCTGAATGAGACAGTCTTTCCCGTCATGTTCATCAATGAGGTAAGAAACAGTGAAGAAGTGCTGACACTTCCATTATGAGTCAGTGGATCATCATTAAGTTGTAATGTTATAAACAATGTAATTTATGTTTTTCCCGTGTTTCTTGATTCCAAAATGAATATGTAGCAAATAAAAAAAACAACAACTTTGTTTTATGTAAACATTTTAAAACAACACGAATCAGGGCTAAACCACGAGAAAGTATAAAATACTAGATGCTAAACCAGTCACTAGTAATACATAAATAAAGTTCCCTCTCCATAATGTATCTTTGACGTTGTCTTCTAATACGCAGAGTGTGGTGATTGATGATGTTTCTGCGGCGAGAGTACACAAGCTGCTGCTGATTGCCACGCTAGTGTCCCACTTCCCGCTCATTATTGTGGGACTGGGTGCCATCATGCTCCTAGTCTTAATCATCCTTCTTTTCCGAGCCTGCACACAGAAGGTATGACCACTCTTCTTACCTGGTTGTATTCTAACAGCTTACAATTTGCTTGCTTTGTCCCAATAAGTAATTGTCCCAATAAGTAATTGTGTTAATTTGTGTGCATTGTTTATCAATGTGTGTCTCTGTGCAGAACGAAGTTAAGCGCACTGTGTTTACCAAGCCTCTCTATGCTGTAAGTCTTTATGGTCATTCTGTTGCTTTGTTTGATATTCCATGTTGTGTGTGCTTTGTTCAATCTTGTGTCTTACTATATTAGTGCTTATTGTCCATAATGCATATTTAATCTCATATGTTAGATGACTTTCAGCCCTCCTGAAATATATATCTGGCGCTGTACAGTAAACATATTGTTTGGTTTTAACACATTAACATAATTTAGTAATACTAAATGTCTATTTAAGTAATGTACAAATGACACTAGCAATGTGAGATGACACGTTCAAGAACACCAAACCTTTCAAAGTAAGATGAGATGACTTTTTAAATATGTTTTCCTTTTTATCCTCAATCTCCCACTAGACCTCCAACGAAGAAGACACTTCTTACTCTCCAGTTAGTGACAAGGAAAAGGAAGATCCTCAAAATGGGACCTATATCTCTTTGACACCGAAAGGTGAACCACAGGCTTGAGGAGGGGGGAGGGGGGGTTAGAAGGGGGCTTTTTACATCGACAAGCCACAGAACTTCAAATAGGGATTTAGGTTTTCAGGAGAGGGATGGGAATAATCCATATCTCGTTTATGAATGGAAATCTTTAGGGGTGTGAGGTTTAGGAATTGAGGAGGGGAACATGTTTTTAATCAGTTTAGACTGTTTGGATTAATTTAGATTAATTTTAGCCATGGACAACAACCTGAAGTCCAGTATACAGTACACGCTGTTTTCCCAGAAAATGATGACATTTTTTTGAAAATACTGTGTGTCAAGGGCTACTTATTTTCTGTTTGGTGAAGTCAGTTGCTGAAAGCTGTGGCGTCACTTTGTGGTGGTCTTCAACAAACAAAACACACCTTTTAAACCTCAGGTGTGGAATAAATTAGATTTTAGTGCTGTGGCCTCGCCTCATTCTCTCATACCAGGGTAATGAAGTCCATTAACTGTGAGTTTTTTAGATATTATATGCCACTCTCAGGGGGCCTCTGCTTAAATACTATCAAACACTATTAAAGGAAGAGGAGCGAAGCCAAACATACGGCAAGCCTTCTCTTCGTGAAGACATTCAAATCAATTCAGTATTATTATGTTTCAGTTGCATTTCATCCTAAACTAAATGTTATCAAAACATTTTCTTGGCTTGTTCTTGTTTTCTACTCATGCACTGTTTTTAGAGGGACATCTGTGGACGTCATTAGCACCGCACCATAGAAGCGCTCAAGAGTGTATTTTTGTATATATACAGTGCAAGGTGTGTTGAACTGTTTACATTCCTCTCAGTGTATGATGGGAATGAATATCAGACAAAACACTGAATATTTTAGATATTTAATTTTTTGTAAAATAAGAAGTCCTTCTCATTTGTTGTAAATGTTGATGTAGAAATGTTTGAATGCAAAGTTAGAGCTTCACACTTGTGTTCTCGTGCCATAATGAGCTTTCATGAGCCTTTTAAAGCCGAGTATGATGGATTTTGTGGTTGAAAAGATAATTCATACAGTACTGAATTTGTATGTTGACAGTATTTTGCCTTGTATAACTGCTTACATTAACTAACCACCCTTTTAAAATGCTTATTATCATTTCAAAATGTGCTTTTTTGATGCTATCGTTGAAGGCCTTAATAACATTGTTGGTGCTGAATATGAAAACCAACAAACCTTTTTTTCCCCAATGTTTGTGAAAGACTTCATGTGTGGTGTTCAGCCATTGCAACGAACAACTCATGGAGGTTTAGTATGAAGAATTAGTAGAAGAAGAAGTCGTTGTGCCTTCAAAATAATCAATGTTACTGGAATTGTTTTGTCTTTTATAGTTTTCCCATATTTTGTGAAAATGACGCCTTGTCACACCAACAAATGTGCATATCATTATCTTCTAAATACCAAACAAAACTGAGCATGAAACTGCTAGGCGTTTTCATAGTTTTGTCTTGCCGGTAGGGTCAAACTTTCTCACTCAAGGCTGGTGGAATTATCGGATTACAGGTGCCATTTAATGTAATATTGTGAATGCTGTAGAATTACTTCATTTGAACTATATTGAGCCCAGCTTTTATTACTGCTCTTATTCCTAGTTGTAACATTTTAAGGATGAATGAGTTAGATGCACTGAAATAATCAGCAATAAATCGATCAGACAATAGCGGAGAAGCTGTAACAAGTGTAATTTCGAGATTTCTGCTTCCTCATTTGATTTTACTATTTGTGTTTGATTGACTTTAATGAGTCATGTACAATAAGAAAACCTAATGAATATAGAAGAAATTCACGTAGAGTGCATAATGTAGTTTCATCGTAAATGGGTGAATGAAAGGATAAAGATGCAAACAAAATTACAGTATTACACAATACTAGAATTGTGGTCAAAAAAAGATGAATTATTGTGTTGCGTTGGTAAAACCAAAACACAGAAAGCACCATTTGGACTTTACACTGGGTTACTTTGTGTCGTGCTTTGATAACAGATTGTACTTTCTGAAATTATTGTTACTGCTATAACCACTTATTCTTTTAATTGTCAATTGTTTTGAAACACTGACTGTTAATACTGTTTTTACTGTGTACACAAAAATAAAAGTAGTTTCAGTAAATGTGTCTTTACTCCTTTTTGACAGTGTTTGGTTCGAAAAAAAGAAGACTGAGTCTGGATGTGTGGATTTGTAATGTTTGAGGAAAGATTACACAGATGTCTCCAGTATTGCCATAAACTTACATTGTGTTTTTCCATACAAATAAAGCATTGGGGCTGTGTGGTTAGGCTCTGTTCTTGGTTTTAGAGTAAAGTTTAAATCGTATTGGCATTTGTGAGCTGGCATTGTTTAAAACAGGATAAAATTCAAAAAAGATTGGAAAAACACTCCAGCAAAGCCCTAAATCAGGTTTTTGCAAATATTACAGAAATATGAAGAACAATTGGGTCCAGAGCACTTAAAGATATCTATTATTTTCCTGTTGCTTTTAATACTCATAAATTGCCTTTTTCATTAATAAATATTTAATAAATAATAATATATTATTAATATTATGGTGCTATTTAGCTTCCACCCTAACATGACCCACCATTGTAGCTGCTTTTACAACTGTGATGAAGTTATTTTTTGCATGAGCTCCTCTCAGTATTTTGTCTGACCTCCGCATAAGTAGCGATCTCTCCTGCAGACTCCAGGTGGCGGTAATGTGCCGTTATGTTCGATGACAACTGCCGAGCCCCACAAAGAAGACGAAGAAGAAGAAGACGACGAAGAAGAAGAATAACTGCCTGCACCTGAAAACAGTCAACATGGCGTTCAGTTTTGGCGGCGCCACGAGTAACCCAGCGGCAAGTAAGGACATTTTAATTTAGTTTTGGAGTATTTTAATGAGACTAGAAATATGCTGCTTATATATTGTGACACTAGCGTTACTGTACGTGTATCTTGTAGCTAACGCTGTAGCCTTTGGCTAACGTTAGCTGTTGTGGCTAACGAATAACGTGAACGGTACTCCTCAAAGTTAGCTAACTTATCTTTACAGTCCTTATTGACAATCATGATCTTGCAGCTTGTTAAAAATCCATTGTAGCTGTACGTTGACGTTGCTGTCAGGACACCCAACACTCACAAGCACTCTCTATGTTCATGTGAAGGCACGTCTGGGTTTTCTTTCGGTTCATTTGGTGCCAAACCCACAGCATCAACAGCAGCGTTTGGCTTTGGCCCCGCAGCCACAACCACCACCGCAGCACCCGGATTCGGCAGTAAGTCCAGAGACGTGATCCTCACTAAAAGGGGGACTCCTCACCTTTGACCCTCAGTGATCACAGCTGCTCCACTGTGTTGTTGGTCAGTGTTATAGCAACAACTCTTGTTTGCTCCGTTTGGGACTGGTTGGGGTTTAGGCTCAGGTTAAGATCAAAATACACTCAAATTGATGGGGGAGCAAGCATTGCATACTATATTAATACAGGATCTACAGCAGTAATGATGTACGGGTAGTAATATGTGTACAGTTATTTTGCACAGTGTTGGCATCATCATGGTCATCATATAATAGGTTACAGCAGTGGAGTAGCAATGGAATACATTTATATTTGTCTACATAATTGGGCATCACTGTAAAGCTTAACCAACCTGTTTTTGTACTAAAACAATTGCATATTGATGTAAGCCAAATATTGTTAAAATCAGATGTGTCTAAGCTTTATGAAACCATTGTGTTGTGTTTTTATAGGACATTTGTACATCGTTTGTGCAAACAGTAGGTTCTGTTGTTGACTTTTTTCAATTCATTAAAAAAAAGGTTTTGCAGATGATTTGGGACTATTTTTAGGTATCCTTTGTTGTTGTATCCAAATCTAGGTGCCAGTTTAACTGCCCGTCTATTTTGTGTCTGCTTTTTCGTTGTAGCTCTCGCAGCCCCTGGTTTTGGGGCCGCCACCACTGCTGCTGCCGCACCAGCCACAGGATTTAGTTTTGGCTCCACCAACACTGGTAAGATATTTTATGGTCAAAACAGTCTTGTCTCTCTTACGCTACATTTTTTTTACAAGTAATAAGCCCAAACAAGACCTGACCATTTGTCATTTAACTCCTCCGTGTCATTCTCTCCTTCTCGCTGCCTGCCTCCGATTGGCTGCAGGATTTGGGGGGCTGGGAGCTGGAAACACCATGGCTGGTGGGTTTAGTTTTGGGGGGTTTGGTTTAAATGCCAACCCAGCAGCAGTCAGCTTTAATGTGGGGTGCTTTGGTACAGCAACCACCATTGGCACTGTTTTCAATTTTGGTAATAGCCTGGCTAGCACAGGTAGATGACCTTTGTGATTGATTAATCAGTACAGTCTGTGTCTGTAAACACACATTTTCATCCATTTTCGCATCTATGTGGTGCAGTGATTTTTCGTCTGACATGTTGCTTTTTCTCATTAAGTGTCATTGTTGTTGTTTCCATTTGCACGAGGAGACAAAATGTTGAATTATACACTCATCTCATTTGATTCCTGTAGAAATGTACATTTTCACCTTCTCTGTTGAGAGCGATGCTAGATGGAAATAAAATTCAGTGTTTCTTTTTATTACCGTAAAAGCTCTGTCATGATTTTTGTCTTTTGCAATTAGTCAGTGATTTCATTCTGTATTTCTTTCCTTTCTTTCACCTCCTTTATTTCATTTGGCATGATTTGCTTTATTTTTCAGGCACGTTTGGAGGCTTTGGGGTGACTACAACAACCGCCACTGCACCAGGGTCCACGTTTAGCTTTGCTGCTCCCGCTAACACCGCAGGTCAGCAGCGTTGCTCTTATCCAGAATGATGATCTTTTTGGGCCATTTGTGTGTATGTGCAGGACATAAAATATGCATGCACACATTCAGGTTTTTTTAAAAGAGGACGTCCGGCAGTCTTGCCCAACTGAGGCAACAGTCATCAATGGCGGGTTTTATCAGCTGTACTTGCATTGTTATAATTTAAAAAAAGTTTCATCATTTTGGTAAATTACAAAACAAATGTCTTGATTCTTCTGTGATGCAAGTGCTTTTTTTTTTTACGAACGTGTAAATACCATAAACACCGTTTAATGTGTCGATGCACCGCTGTTTGTTCCATTAAAAATTAAACTATAAACTTGCGTTGAGTCCTGCAGGAAGCCTGATGTAGATCAAGGTTAATCATTTAGTATCATAATGTTGACTAGGTAAACTGATATTAGTTGGTTTGGTTTCAGTTTTCTAAATGTTTTACTAAAGCTGTGCTGTTACTCAGTGCCCACAAATAGCTGCCATTAGGTTGCACAGTCACTCTACACTTTACTTGGCATTCAGTAGCATTAATGTACATATTTTCTCCCTGTGTTGGCACAATCTTCTGTTTTTAGGAGGCCTGTTTGGTAACACGCAGAACAAAGGTTTTGGGTTCTCCTCTGGGCTTGGCGCTGGGACTGCTGCTGGGGCAACAGGATTTGGAACTGGATTAGGAACATCTGGCCTCAGTGGGTTTGGAGGTTTTAATAATCAGCAAACTCAGCAGCAGCCAGGTAAGAGAACCCGTATTTCCAAATAACAGTTTTAGTGTTTCCATGTGAAGATTAGAAAATGATGTCCCAAACAAGGCAGAACATTAAAGCTGATATTTGTAATTTGTTTTTAAACCTCCACAACTACTCTATCGACTGTGCTGTACACCTCTTATCGCTGCAGAGGGCGACAACAAGCAGAATGTTTTCAGCTTTAACATCATCAGTCCAACAGTGTGCAGCTGAAGCAGAAATATAAGACCGTGCAGTTAGAGTGTATTATGTTGGAAACATTGTTAATGACTTTCCTCATATTATGAAAGAACAGCCATTAGGTCCGTAGTTTTCCCTCCGAAACGTGGACATAAAGAGAAAGACAGTCTGACGTGTCGTCTTCCTCTCCTCACACCTTCTAGGAAGCTTGTTCGGCCAGCAGGCCCAGCAGCAGGCTCAGCCCAGCCAGCTTTACCAGCAGGTCACTGCTCTGTCAGCTCCCACCTTGTTAGGCGATGAGCGGGACTCTATTTTAGCCAGATGGAACCAGTTGCAGGCTTACTGGGGCACTGGGAAGGGCTACTACAGCAACAACCACCAACCTGTTGACTTCACCCAGGAGAACCCATTCTGCAGGTTCAAGGTAACGGTGGATAGTTCATTAGAGTGCTTAGATGTGCTTGTTAGGTTCCTTTTTTGAATTTGAATATCAAATGGTAATCCTTTGTGTTTTTTTGTTTCCTAGGCGGTGGGCTACAGCTGCGTGCCAGTGAGTAAGGACGAGGATGGTTTCGTGGTCTTGCTTTTTAATCGAAAGGAAGCCGATGTGCGAGCTCAGCAGCAGCAACTGGTGGAGACCCTCCACAAGGTCCTGGGAAGCAACCAGACTCTCACCGTCAACGTGGACGGTGTCAAAGCCCTGCCCAATGACCAGTGAGTCAGTCAGGACCGCTACACCCATGACTCCCCAATTACTTTCAGACACTAGAATAGGTATTAAATTGATTACAAACGAATGTGGGGACTCGTTCCCGTCTTCTGTCTCTCAGGACCGAGGTGGTCATTTACGTGGTGGAGCGTTCTCCTAATGGCACCTCCAAGCGGATCCCCGCCACCACACTGTTCAGTTATCTGGAGCAGGCCAACATCAAGGTCCAGCTCACGCAGATCGGAGTGGCCATGTCTGTCGCACGCACGGAGCTGTCGCCAGCTCAGCTCAAACAGCTGCTGCAAAACGCACCTGCAGGTAAACGAGCACCTGCATGCATGTTTGTGTCATCCGCTCGCTGAACTCCACAGATGGTTTTGGTGTGTGATTTCTACTTCTGAGAGTGTTGTCTCTTCTCACTCAGGAGTGGACCCCATCATTTGGGAGCAGGCTAAGGTGGACAACCCGGACCCGGAGAAGTAAGTTGGTTCAGAAAATATCTGTCAGACTTGCCATAAAGGATGGTCTAGGAATAATGTGGGGTGGGGGGGGGATCAGTTAAAGAGACTTGTAGATCCTTGAGATTCTCCAGTCGTAGCCATGTTTCATAAGTGGAACATGATATATGTAGTGTTTAAGTTAAGTGTAACACCCTTTACCACATGACTCATAAAGATGGCTCTGCTGGGTTCCTGATCAATGCTCACAACAAAAATCTACATTTTAACTTAATTTGTTAGAGTCATTAAAGTGTTTTACTTTTCCTCCAGGTTAATACCAGTGCCCATGGTGGGTTTTAAGGAGCTTCTTCGCAGGCTCCAAATCCAGGAGCAGATGACCAAACAGCACCAGACCAGAGTGGATGTAAGTGAAAACAGTCCTGGTTCTCTAAACGACATGGGCACCGTGCCTTCTGATTATCAACGAAGGAATTTTGAAACGGATTTTGTGGCGTCAAGGACGGAGTACACAGATGTCCTATTCATGCTAGCCGCCAACAGGTTGTTTACAGCTGAAATTACTATTACAAATACAGCTGCGAGTGTCGATGTCAGGATTTAGGGATGTTTTTCAAATCAATTTGGTTTGTATATGAAACATATGTGTAGTTTACTCTTCAAATGTGGAGTCTAAGCATTTTCCTCTGTGGTTTATATTTGAGGATATTAATACCCTTCTAAGTTGGGTCTATCAAAAGCATTTGGCTAATATTACCATAAAATGCAACACCAAACGTGTGTGAAATGATACATCAATTGTTTTATCTGAAGTTGTTGAGCAAAACGTTTCAAGGAAGGGCAACAGGCCAGGGATTATTTTCAGCTTGATAGCTCTAAAAATATAACTTGAAATCAGAGGAGAAATAATATGTTTCCCTCCCTCCTCTTCTCACTCGCGTACACACACTTGTTGATTTGCAGATTATATCCGGTGACATCAGTGAACTCCAGAAGAACCAGGCGACCACAGTGGCCAAGATAGCCCAGTACAAGAGGAAGCTGATGGATCTCTCCCACAGGGTGCTGCAGGTAGCTGTCTTTGTTCGGTGATATTGTGTTGTGGGTTGAAGTGGCCTGCGATGAAAACCATCGCCACATTTCCTAGAGGTTTGAATGAATGCCCTGGCACCGTCTGCGTCTTTTCCTGCTTTATCGTTTCTGCCCCAGTGTTTCTCACATTTATCTCCTCCTACGTCCCTGTTTTCCTGCCAGGTGCTAATCAAACAGGAAATTCAGAGGAAAAGTGGCTATGCTATCCAAGTGGATGAGGAGCACCTCAGGGTGCAGCTGGACACCATTCACTCTGAACTCAATGCCCCCACACAGTTCAAGGCAAGTGTGTCTAAATTGTAGCAGTCATGAATACAATGACTGCTCATTCTTTCATTCATATATCTTAATAGACTTGACATCAGGGTTACAAGGACTTTTTAAATTCCTTGTTATGTTTCTCTAAGAGCAGTTGGTAGTTTACTAATGGGTTTTTCAGTATTTATGGTATATTTATTACTTAGGCTATTACCTATCTGGTGACATTGTACTCTTTGTTAAGTTAACAATCTGTTTTTTTTTAATTATCTGAATTTCTGACTCGATTCGTGAGCTGCCTAGAGATTCCCGCCCCCAACCACCAGCTGAGACAAAGTTTCTATTTTACGGTATTTGTATCGTCTTTTCTTCCAGGGTCGTCTGAATGAATTAATGTCCCAAATCCGGATGCAGAATCACTTTGGAGCTGTAAGATCAGAAGAGCGCTACAGTGTTGATGCAGACATCCTCAGGGAAATCAAACAAGTGAGTCGGCACATTCACACAATGCCCTCTTATTGTAACATCTGTGTAACTCTTGTGCCAGACCTCTGAATGCACTAAACCAGTCATTCCCACAGACGGACCTTCTGTTAGGGTCGCCAAATCATTTTTACAGAATTTCTTCCATTGTCTTTAATATCAGCAGTACACCTTTGAGCCACTCGAGGGAGACTATGAATGTTCGTATTGTTCTGATAAGTGTAGTCAACTTAAAACATTGAATCTGATATGAAAGTTTATCCTACATTCTGTTGGTTTTACTGATGAGGACAAAAAATGGTTTGAATGCATTTATGTGCTCCCATTTATGAACATGTTTATATGTTTACAATAACACATGGTTTACCTATTCAAGACGATATGAAGTGATGTGGAAATGCAAATAATCGCTCTTCTCCCAAATCATAGATAACGCCTGTTGTGAATTAGTTCGCAATGGTTTGGACATTTTTAGAAAGTGTGGCTCCCAGAAAAGAAGTTTGGGAATGACCGCTCGAGACCACGACAAGTCTGTGAAAACATTTGTAAAGATTTTGTGCAATAACTGAAAGACTCTCCTTATCTGCCGCTTTCAGCACTTGAAACAGCAGCAGGACGGTTTAAGTCATTTGATCAGCGTCATCAAAGATGACTTGGAAGACATCAAACTCATAGAGCACGGGCTGAGTGACAGTGGACACATGAGAGGAGGCCTCCTGAGCTGAGTCCACCCTACCAACACACACACACACACACACACATACATACATACATGTTGTGCTCTGACTCACAATTATCAATCCTCTGAAAAGTGAGCTGCCCGTCACCTTCTCCTTTATGTCATGGTGTTGGATTCATCTTGAAGTAGTCTTTGCCTTTAGGTTTGATTGAAGGAGGGTGTCTGAATTTCTCTTGGTCACCATTCTGCCATCAGGACCTTTGCCCCACTACCAACAAAATAAAGACTGCTTAATCTGTGCTTTCCGGACTGACACAAAGAGCTTAATGGAAAGACTCAACATCGTCTAATAATAGCTGGCTTCCCCTTTGTTAAAGCAGATTATGGAAATGAGACTATGATTGTAGCTGGCATGTAAGCAAACCATAGGGTTGAGTGTGTGCTGTTTGAATACATTGTAAATACATCTTTGTATTTCTTTTTTTATGCCGTTGTCAGAATGTTAATAAATTTCATTTAAATTGAAAACAAGTTGACTACATTACTTTCCTTGCAATCATACTGTAACGGTAGTCGCATATTTATTTATTTTTTTTCTGTCTGAACAATGCAACTTTTGTTGCCCGTCTATCTCCATTGTTTTGGTACTCTCACTCACGTCACTGGTGTTTACCTTCAGATGAGCCTTTTCCAACATCTCGTCAAAGTATGGCTTGCGTTGATAGGATTCATGTCCTGGATTCGGACTGATTGGCAGTCGAACGGATTAAGCAGCTTCCGAAAAGATTATGTCCCCTTGTGCAGTAGAGTCACCGATATCCCAAAGGTCTGAATTACGCAAAGTTTTTCAGACCACAGGTAAAAGAAAAGGACGCTGCCAGGCAAAACGTAGGCAGATGAAATTATAATGTTGTATTCAAAGAAGCAAATACTTGTACTTGATGTAGACCACAAAATTAAAAATATCTCCAGTAATGGTAAATTACCTTATCATACCTCTTTACTTATTTTTCTATGGGAGCATTCTACAGTGCTGAGAAGCAGAAATCACTAATGGTTGAAAAAATGCTGAAAATTAGCATTTTTCAGAATTAGTAGCTTTTGCTTGAACTTTTTTTTTTTTTTGGCTAGTGTTTTTAAACTCCTACATACACTTTGATGCAGGAGTTTTGGCTTTTACAGACTATTGAACATACCACCATCCCTAATATTTTGACGACATTTCGTTGCATCACTACAATGACAATAAAAACCTCTTTATCTCTTATCTTTACTTCATTTTTTTTAGATGGTGCTGCATTTTCATTGATCAAATTCAGCCAAGCTCCATGATCTACAGAATCCCCGTGGATCAGTATATCCAGGTCCATAGTCCTGTCTTCAGTCGCAGCATTTCGTACTAACTCTAGAGGTTTCTTTGTCTCAGTATAACACACTTTTCACTCTCTCTCCTAATGGCTAATGTAGCCTCAAGTGGAGCTGAGGTCTGGTTAGCTCTCTTTCTAACTCCACACCTCCAGATTTCTTTAATTTTAAAACTATTCTCCAGCCCCAACCAACACTGACTCAAGTTCTCTCTGGAGCCACAAAAGGTTTCATACAACTTACTTCTCCCCAAGATCTGTAAAACAGACGTTCATGTGTAAAACCAGCGGGGTTCCTTTAACTTCTTTAGGCCAAATATTGTCAACAATGCACTCAACATGAAAGGCAAAGACAACTTCATATGTGTTTGTTTGTTTGTTTATGCATACCTAAACAGGTTGATCATTAAGTTATACATAGAAATCCTTAAGAAACATCAACATCTTAAATAAAGTTACATTTTAAAAGGTTAAAAAAAGTGCAGATAATGTAAGAGGTAGAAGAGATCTAGCTTGATCTGCACAGGTCAAATGGATGAGATACTACTCAACTCTTTTTCCCCACAGACATGTATTCAAGTGAACAAGTCTAGCCCAAACTGCTGTGGGTGTTCTCTATGCAGCAGGTACAGCTCCTAGTCCAGGCTCTCAGGTATGTGCGGAGATGTCCACCAGCCGGAAAGCCTCCATGAACTCGTTGATGTCGATGCTCCCGTCCTTGTTGAAGTCGATGCTCTGGGCCAAGTCTGCGATGGCCTCGTCGCTGATCTCTGTCTTAAGATGAGAGCTCAGCAGTTTCCAGGTCTGACGGAACTCCTTGAAAGAGATCAAACCTAGAAAGAAGCGGAGGAGGGAGGATGTTGTACACTTCCTAAATTTGTAGCATAGAAAATCTGTATTGTCTGCGTGCCGTGCAGTTTGTTGAGTCACTTTCAGGTGAAAGATGTTTTTATTGCAGAATATGTTTTAACATTTACCATAACAACAAATGGGTGTATTGCATATATTCCCACTTTTGTTGTAGATATTTGAGAGACGCGTCTCAGGCTTTGCAATGGAAAGTGGCAAGTCTACAGCCATGCTAGAGGCTCCCTGAGGCTGTGGTGATTTAAGTTTACGTCAATATGCTCACATGTTTACCACGTTCGCCTTCTTAGTTTGACATGTTCATGTCAATCCGTTGAGTAGATGTGGAAATAATTCACTGACTAAACTTTGGCCCGCTGGTCAAGGGATGACCAGAGTCAGTAGGGTTTCATCCTCTGGGGAACACGAATGTCTGCACAAAATGTCATTGCAACCCATTATAGTTGAGATGTTTCAGTCAATAGCATGACTAAACAGGAGAGAAAATACATTGATGTAGTGTCTGGAATCCAGGTGAAAGCGTCCTACTGACCTGAGTTATCTGTGTCTATGATTCGGAAGATGGTTTCCAGGTTGGCGTGGTTTTTGTACATAGTCTCCAGGATGCTGTCATCTGAGATCTGAAAGGGACAAATCAATCAAGATTTTGTGACGTGTGTGTGTGTGTGTGTGTGTGTGTGTGTGTGTGTGTGTGTGTGTGTGTGTGTGTGTGTGCGTGTGTGTGTGTGTGTGTGTCAGAGATGGAAAAACAGGGTGAGAAAATGGACATTAGACACTGGTCTTACAAGGCTGACCTCCAGTTTGGGCTCAGTGATGGAGAGCTCCCTTATCCACAGCTGGTAGTCCACCATGCCACACTGGGTGCTGCTGACAAGCTGAGGGCGCAACACCCTCCAGGGCAGACCCAGATTTAGTACTCTCTCTGTGGCGCTGGCCCAGTGCCTTAGAGAGATCATCCCTGAGACACAGACAGAAATATACAGTCTGATACACTGACACAATACGCTTTTTGTTATAACATTCATCACTGCTGCTCAGTACCTTTGTTGTTAGGATCAAACTCCTGGAAGGCACTAATGAGATCGGACTTGTGTACAAACAGTTGTTCCCTCAGAGCTCGCAGAGCTGATCTCTCTATCCACCCGACACTGACGAAGAACAGGTAGAGAAAAGTATTTTTTACTTCTGCTCTATAAATCTTTGAATCACTGGGAAATATACTGATCATAATTTGTCTGTTTACCCACATTCTGCCATGTAAATCTGTGTTTAAATGTTATTGGGACATTCATTTTGTGTTTTGTGTTGTTTTAAATTCTGTGCAGGCTCATATTTGTACCTTTGTCTCAGGGTGAGCTCTCTGCATGTCCTGCTGGCCTGATACTGAATGAAGTGGGGAACCAGATCGGGTCCCATTCTGATGTAGGCTCCTCTGTTGCTGCCCACCTCGTAGTAGTTAGACGCTGAGAATATAGTCAGCACCTAAATGCAACAAGTTTGCTCAGACTTATTGATTACTAATTGCTGTCTGATTAAATCCTTAAATGAAACAGCTACTTCTGTTCAGTCATTTTTGCAAATTGTTTGCTCTATTTCTTTCCTGTTTTTCATCTCCTGTCATAAGCTAAAGGTATCCAGAGTCCATATTCCAACTTAAACTCTACGTCATGTGCAACTTTGTGCTCACCCTGCGGTTATGGCAGAACTCATAGCCGTCCTGTTTGCACTCATGGGAGCGGATGAGGAGCTGGAGGTTGTGTCTTCCCAGCACTTCCTCACTGACGTCTGGCCCCCAGTAGCAGCCTCCGCCTCGCACCTCATTGGGAATGCAGCCATTTTGGGGCATCGGGTCACTCCACAACACATCCACTATCTGGGTGGCCCAATCAATCACAGTGAAATAGTTAGCGAAGTCAGGAAACATGAAAACGTGTGCATTATGGGGCATTTCTGCATGTACATACTCAATGTTCAACATCCTTCCTGTCACCTACTTGTTTCCACTCGTCCACATCTGTCTCTGTTGTTTCTCCAGACTCCGGGTCTACGTCAGACTTCTTTGGTTCTCCGTAGGACTGGTCGAACCCAGCCAGCCTGCGCCTCTTTTTCAGCTCCTCTTCCACCGACCAGTTGAGTTGACTGCTCACGGGTGCGTTGTGGAGCGAACAGCGTGGGAGTTCATGCCTGTGAGCCATCGCAGAGCCGTGGTAAGTCAGAGAACACACCCGACGCCGGCCTTCCACTGGTCCACCGGCCTCCCTGTTCCTGTTGTTCATTGTCTGAGTCTTACTCACATTGACTGCTTGATGGGTCGCCTTAGGAGGCCTGAGAGCCGACACATACTGAGCACATAAGATAAAATACGCTTAATATGATGACCATGATGATATTTCTGGATTTGCAGGCCCAAATACACAGATTTTATTGACGCTGAATGCCTCTCTTACTTTGTGTCTGTCCATTCTGGCTATCACGTTGAGGTCTGTTGTGTCAGAGATCCCACCATGCACAATCAGCACCTTGTTATCAATCACTGTGGCCAGAGGCAGCCAGCTGAAAATCTTCTGGAGGAGCTTTAGGATTGTCTTACCATGCACCTGCAGACCAAGTCAAGTTTATGGTGACTATACAGTTGGCTTGTTTTATCCATTTGGGCAATTTTCAGCCATGCTAGACACGGTCGGTCCAGACTAAAATATCTCAACAACTATTGGATGGACTGCCATGGGATTTGTAGAGACATTCACGTTCCCCAGATGATGAATCCTACTGACTCTGGTGATCCCCTGACTTTTTTAGTACCACCATGAGGTTCACATCAGTGATTTTTCACTTGCCTACCCTGCCTATGACACTCAGACTTAAGCCCATCTGTTTTTCCTGTTATAAAACATTAGATTCCTTGTATGTGGAAAAATAGAAGTGCACATGGGTTTACTCAACTATTTCTACGTCATGCCACTTTATAATTCTTATTCACTGAATTTAAGAGGAAAATAGGGTAGTTTGTACATACAAAACATATAATGAGCTTTTTAAATATGATGCGTTGCAATAGGTTTAACAGTATAAAATAATTAAGTAGCACCTTGACCAGCTACAACATTAAAATGTCACATGCATCAGTAACGATACAATAATGTAATATTTAACAGTAAAACATAAACAGGATCCATTTGCATTACGTTTAATACCTTTAGTACAGTTTGTTGATAGTACTAATCTACTTTTTTAAGTAATATTTTAAATGCAGAACTTGTAATGGAGTATTTTATGTATTGTGGTATAGCTCCTTTTTCTTAATGCGTTTGGAATACGTCTTCCATCACTGAGTTTAAATTTGGCTGAGAGCACTATAATAATTAGGTTAAAGCAAAATACACAAGAGAACCAACCCTATATTTTCCCAAAACTTCTTTAGTGAAACCATATCTGGAAAAAACACACAAGGAAGAAATAGATTAGTGTACACATCAGCTGTAGGTTAAATATAAGCGGAATACCAGTTGCATAAAGCCATATACAGTATGAGCATATTGTGATTAACTGCAAAAACATAAATACTAAGGAAACAGGTAGCACAAGCCACTAATTTGAGTTTAAGAAGACTGACTAGCTTACCTCAGGTTAACAATGTGGTCCTCGTGGTTTCCTCTGTTTAGATGGACATCATTGGGATAGACCAGCAGGAACCCAAACAGGATGAGCAGGATTTCAACGGAGTTTTTACCGCGATCCACAAAGTCTCCATTGAAGACATACGGCTTCTCGGAGGACGGCAAACCATTCTGGATGGAAGAAGTTGTTAAATAAAATGAACATACCTGTCTGACAATATGATTTTCACGTTTTGAATACCTTATAAAATATTAACAGCAGGTCCTCAAGGTGCCCATGTAAATCTCCTGTGAAAAAGGATACATAATGTATTAATATTGTGTGCGAGTGCTCCCTGAATGTTTCAAAGGCAATAAAGAAGAATGTGAGATGAAAAAATCGGAGCAAAATGCGTCCAGGAAAGGCCTGCTGTTGCGTACCGCATATGGTTATCTGCTTGGTGTGGCAGGCAGAGATGTGGTTGATGTTTGGAAGAATTTTTAGAAGTCTCCAAGTTTCTCCAAGAAGCTGCAGAACATATCGAGCATGAAGCTGCTACTGGGGGAAAAAACAAGTATGAATCCACTGACCGCTGAGGAAAAAGGACATCATTAGGTACTTCTGTTTGCTTTTGAGTATCTGCCTTAAGTGAACTTTATGTGCCTGTGTACTTACTTGTTTGTGCTTGAAGGCCTCCACCAGCTTTGACACCCCACAGAAGGTCAGGGGGAAGATGAGATGGGGGCCGATGTAGCTATCGCTTACTTCAATGCTCTTGTAGCAAAAATATCTCTCCCACTCTGTGTCTCGACAGATTTCATTTTTACGAAAGATGTGCGATATTAGGTTTCCTATGTTAGAGGAAGAGATGGAAGGTGTGGGACGTGGATCAGTGTGGTAAAAGAAAGTACGTTTTTTCAGCAGAGAGTAGGCCGGTTGAGCTCAGCTTAGCTCACTGTCAGTAGTAAGAGTCGGTCTTACTTTCACTGCTGGCTGGGGTGAAGTGGTCCATCAAGAAGCCAAAAAAATTGTAGAGCTGCAGGAAGGATAAATATAATTTGAAAATGAGTAAAGTGTCAAAGAAAAGATGAATGACTGTGAATATGCCAGTAGCTCTCTGCTTTGATGTTCACTATAATTTTCTGAAGTTTTAGGAAGTCATTTTCTCATAAGCTTTAAACACAAAGTACAGCTGAGGGTGATTAGAATGTGATTAGTTTTGCTGATATTTGGTCATAAACCAAAGTATTGGACAAACGGAAATTTTTACCCAATGATGGTGCTGGATGAGAAGTTAAGGGAACACCACATGTATTACAATTCATCCTCTGGGTACCATGAATGTCTGTTTCAAACATCACAGCATCCATATCGTAGTGAATGAGAGATTTTTATGAAATCCAAAAATATCAACCGAGTGTATGTATATATACTGTGTGTGTGTATATATATATACTATGTACTATGTATGTATATGTGTATATATATATATATGTATGTGTGTATGTATGTATGTGTATATATATGTATGTATATGTATGTATGTGTGTATGTATGTATGTGTATATATATGTATGTATATGTATGTATGTATGTATGTGTATACATATGTATGTGTATATATATGTATGTATGTGTATATATATGTATGTATGTGT